CATTTGTTGCTGTCGTCCAAGTTTCCTCTGAAATAGGAAGGGAAGGAAATGGAAAATTATACTTTTACCAAAGCCCGTGGGTAAAACTGCCAAAGTATCATATCCGTCATACAAAGATTTCAATGTTTGGATCTGCTATGAGTACATTATTTAGAAAATTGCAAAGCTTCATAAAAATCAGGGGTAATGGAAAAGTCACTATTGGCAGCCATCTTCATGAGCGGAACACTTGAGTGAAAAGGCAGTTCCAACAGAAAAATGTATCGATTTGATGCATATTCCTACACCTATCACGTCCGAGGTTTGTATAGAGCTTGCGGAGTCAGTCGAGGATTGCCAATAATACAACAGCAATTGTCCATGTCATAATGTTCAATGTCTTTCCATAATACAACAGCAATTGTTGATGTTACAATGTTCTATGTCTTCCCAAAATAAAAGAGCAATTGTTGATGTCACTATTTACAATGTCTTCACATAATATAACAACAATTGTTGACATCACAATGTTCAATGCCTTCCCATAATACAACAGCAATTGTTGACGTCACAATGTTCAATGTCTTCCCTTAATATGACCAATCGGCAATCCTCGGCCAATTCCGCAAGCTCCAAACTAACCTCGGATGTGATAGGCAGAGAAATATGCACCAAATCCATGCATTTTGTTCGCCGGAAATGCCTTCTTACTCAATTCGGATTTTCCGCTCATAAAGATGGCTGTTAATCCCAGATAGCAAAGAGTGGTCGCGCCAACGTTGGCCCGACGACTTTGCCTCCGTCGGGCCAACGTTGGCAGACGACGTCGGTTCGAAGTCGGCGTGTCCGGCGGCCCGCCGTCGGCCCACCGGTGGTCTGCCACCCTTTTGCCAACGTCGCACCGACGCTGGGCCGACGTCATTATGGATAAACGGCGGTCAGCCGCTGTCATGCCGACAATTTGCCAACTTCGCGCCAACGTCGGGCCAACGTCGTTATGAGCTATTACTATCGGCGGTTAGCCGCTGTTATGCCGACTTTTTGCCGACGTCGCGCCAATGTCGTTATGAGCTATTACTATCGGCAGTTAGCCCCCTTCTTGCCAACTTCGCGCCAACGTCGTTAGCCATCGTTTTACCACCGTTATGCAAATAATGCCGTTCTTTAATTAGCCAATGTTATTATGGACTCTCCATGGTCAGCCAGCTATGACTCAATTGGCGAACGTTGGCAATAGGGTAGCAGCGGCGTTTCTTCGTAATAACCCTCTCACTGAAGTGAAAAAGTCCCGTTGGCCTAAAAGATAATAATAATAACAACGTGAATCATGTTTTGTGAAGAAACATCTTTATAAATCTGAGTGAGTTAATAACGATAATTCAATTAGTTATTGAAAATAAATATTATTACTGATGCATCTCTAAAGATCTACTTTACAGATGTCATATATAATCCCAGCTTTCGGTCCCTAGGCCTTCTTCAGAGACATTAAAAAAATGGTGAAGAAAATCTCCTGGGGTATGTGGCGTCGATGATGAGTTAAAGGCACGCGATGCTGCAAAAGCGTCCTAAACGCTAAACGTAACATATAAAAAATCAATATTCATTTAAGAAACTATTGTCCTACTGAGTCCATTATTCAAGGTGTCTAGTGTTCTTATACATTTCTGTACGACGATCTGTCTTTGCCTAGTGTCGTTTCCTTTTAAGACGGTGACGGTGATGCCTTTAGCTGAGTGTTGTGTTGTCCCACAGGCACGAAGAGGTTTTTGTTGTTTATAGGGCAGCGGTGGTGTCTGATTCTGTCTTTTAATTTCTGCCTCGTTTCCCCGACATACATTTGATGGCATTGTTAACATCATATCAAATAGATGACGCTCTGTGAGTCGCAAGATTTGCAGCATATCTTTGACTACGACACTACGCTGGAAAGAAGTGACTGTGGCCTTAATTCCCACACGGGACGAAGAGGAATGATGATGATGACTAAGATTCATCTGAGGAACTCTGCTGCGGCGCCTGGGCTGCTTCTCTCTCTGTGAAGAGAATAGAAAAAATATAAAAACTCACACTTCATCTAATAAAACATACAAAATTCACCTTTAATATCATATGTTATTTCACTGATATGCAAAATAAAAAACGGCTAAGAAGACAACTGAAACCAAGCTTAAGGAATCTAGCATGATACTGATCCACGTTTCTCTAACTATTATTTTTTCTATTTGCGATGTGAAATGTTCTAAACTTTATGAGTTCAGGGACAGACAGGTTAGTTTTGTACGCTCGATTTTGGCCGCAACAAATCAACAATCCATGTTTCTCTATCGTATTATTGAACCGTTGGTTTCAGTTGTCTTCTAATGACTTATTTCCTAGTTCGCATCCAATCCACCCGCGCTTATTCGTAATGTTGCATATTGAAATGAAGTTGTAAATGTATACTTTGAAATGTAGACGAAATAATGTAATTATTTTCCAGGGAAGTGGTTACTCTGCTTAATATATTACCCTTCTTCTTCTCCAGCCTCCTCCTCCTACCCCCATCCCTGTCACTTACATATATTTTAAGAAGAATAATGTACTAAATTCCAGAAGAGAGTCGCAGGCAAGAAGTAGGCTAAATTAATTTCTTAGTTGTTTACTACTTAATCCATTGATAGGGATGATATAAGTTAAACTACTGCATCTTACCATGGCAATGACACACTGAAGCACTTGAACTATATACACACATACCTTTCAAGTGTATTTTCTTGTGAGGATTGACTGCTCAACACAGGCGACAAATAGGTAGTAATGCATGATGGAAGACTATAAGAGAAATATGAGATACATATAAGTGTGGCTTTGTAATGTGCACAAAATGCCTTGTCTAATTATGAGCCTAAACCAAAAAAAGAAACATTATTATATCATGCCCTGTGGGTATTTGACTAAACATCTAGAAAAAAATTCAATTTAAACTTGCCCTCCCCCCTCCCTAAAAGAACCACCTCTGGATATTTTAGGTTAGCCTACTGAGGTCCAATTTTGAACAGAAAACCTGTAAAAATCTGAGTGGACATTATACCCCTTAATGCTAAACTCAGTACGTTTGGAATGTATGCCATAAGGTTTATCCAGTGTTAAACCCATGCTGACATTATAAGTTTACATGTTAGTATCATGCAGCCTTGCTATATACCCCTATTATATAAGCATTTCAAATTCAACTAGAGAAAATATAAACCATATATACCCCTAAGTACAAAAAAAGTACTAGAACGTTGCTCATTCACATTTATAAATTGTCTATACATGAAATGTGGTAATTGAAATGTCTTTCAAAGCATAAAAGAATTTGAGCGGGAAAATCTTTTTGGCCGCCGGAAACCCAACGTCGCCCCGACGTTGGTTCAAAGGTGGCATGCAGCGCGCCAACTGCCTGCAGCTACGACTAACAAATTATTGACAGATTTACTTGTTTTCGTTAATTCATCTACAACAAATAAACCTCCACCTATAGTACGAAAAACATAAACACTTTAAAGTAAATACTTACCTAACAATTTGGTGCAAAATACGGAAAATATGAAATAACCGTCAAGTGCACTTGCAACGATCTATGGCCGCTTAGTGTGGGTGACCTCGATTTGAAATTGGCCGCTTAGTGCAAATCGAGCACAGCTGGTAAGCCACCGTTATACCGACGTCGGGCCGACGGCGTGAAGCAGTCGTCGGCCCGACGTCGGGTCACCAGTAGTGGCCCGACGCACAGCTGATGAGCCACCATTATACCGACGTCGGGCCGACGGCGTGAAGCAGTCGTCGGCCCGACGTCGGGTCACTAATAGTGGCCCGACGTCGGCCCGACAACGACTGCCGACCGC